ATTCTTTTGTCTGTCTCTTTCATAAAATGTGAACCTGTAAATATTAACATGTCATGTGGTATCTGTCTCTTTCATAAAATGTAGAATAAACTGATTGTAAAACTGATTGTAGAACCTGTAAATATTAACATGTCATGTGGTATTGCTTATACATTTTATGAAAGAGACAGACAATACCACATGACATGTTAATATTTACAGGTTCTACAACCTGTTTATTCTACATTTTATGAAAGAGACAGATGATACCACATGACATGTTAATATTTACAGGTTCTACAATCTGTTTCTTATACATTTTATGAAAGAGACAGACAATACCACATGACATGTTAATATTTACAGGTTCAACAATCAGTTTCTTATACATTTTATGAAAGAGACAGACAATACCACATGACATGTTAATATTTACAGGTTCTACAACCTGTTTATTCTACATTTTATGAAAGAGACAGACGATACCACAAAACATGTTAATATTTACAGGTTCTACAAATATTGTAACTCACCAATTTCTGTATAACTACAATCTACCTTCATAATAGTTTGGCATTCCAAGAACCTGAAAATGCTTTGGCCATGAGACCAGACCTGTTGCTAATGTTTAGCATTTAAACACAATGCCCTTCTTGAAAGTACATTTCTAATAAAAATCTAACTCAGTTAAAAATTCTATATTTGTGGTAAAAGCATAAGACTATATCAGCTTAATTCTTAAACTTGGAGAATTCACAAATAGTAAAAATATAATTATTGGCTAACTATAGAATAACAAAACAATGATAAAAACAAAAAAATGTTTAACCAACCATGCTTAACTTACATACCATTAAGAGAAAATACACAATAAGTAACACACACACATAACTAACAGTAATTGTTAAATAACAAGTACAACAATAAATAACACACACGTATACTGACATTTTACAATTCTTAACAAACATGTTTGAGTTTGTGAGCATTGCATATGTTAACTGTAATAATACTGACAGTTGGTATTTATGTTAGGATGACTCTATTCTCAGGAAAAACTATATTACACGACTGACATTATAATAGATACCGTACCCTGCATACACAGCACACAAATTTATCAGAAACATCCTCCTTGATACAGATAGTGTGAAAGACGCGGTGACACAATGAACACAGCACAACTTGACCACCACGGTGGCACTCGAAACAGTACCAATCATGACTGTCACGTTCCTGTCCCAAGGATAAACAAAAATCAATATGTATTAGTAACATCATATTAATATTCCAGTGATTTCAAATTACTTGTTCATACATGCATACTTTAATTTCAGTAAAATAGTTGTTTTCATATAAAAAGAAATTAAGCTTAAGAATTAATAATTTTATTTTTTCAAACTAGCCAATATTAAATCTTTTGGACCATAAACACGAAAACTTATACATTCGAAAATAAGTTTTAGAAAACAGAAAGTAATTATGTAAGAAATTTTTCTCCACAAATTAAACTACAAAATAATATATATATATATATAATATGTAGTTTTCCCAGCTAGAATACGGCACACAGGATGTGCACTTACCAATTAACATATAATATGTAGTTTTCCCAGCTACAGTACGGCACACAGGATGTGCACTTACCAATTAACATATAACATGTAGTTTTCCCAGCTACAGTACGGCACACAGGATGTGCACTTACCAATTAACATATAACATGTAGTTTTCCCAGCTACAGTACGGCACACGGGATGTGCACTTACCAATTACCATATAACATGTAGTTTTCCCAGCTACAGTACGGCACACAGGATGTGCACTTACC